CACACGTGAAGTCACTGGAGCATCAACAGACACATGTGTAGTCTCTGGAGCACCAACAGACAAATGTGAAAGTCTCTGAAGCACCAATAGACACACGTGAAGTCTCTGGAGCATCAACAGACACATGTGTAGTCTCTGGAGCATGGATTTCAAAGACTTATAAAATAGTTGATAACTTTTTATTCTGTAAATTACTGAAAACATAACGTGATAAAAGGTAAAACTCAGTATACATGTATACCACCAGCTACAAATAATACCAGCATTTTCATACATTTCATAGCATATGATACATACATGTAGTTTGCTGACAGAACAAACTTTCATAGAATATTATTTTACATACCTATGTAAAATACATGTGCATATGAACGGGGTCTTAGATTGTGAAACAAATTTACAGTTTTGTGTATATAATGGACGATGTAATATTTAGCGATTCAGTATGCTGTTATTTCGAAACAATTGTTTGTCCATATGATTTTCTTGTAAGATTCCAACAAACAATATTCTTCATGGTACTTAACTATTTTCAATAATATTATGTTTTGTATGCTGAGAAAAGAATACGCTTCGCTTAAAACAAATATCCACCACTGCAGAGATACACCAACACTATCAGTTGTTACTTTTAAACACATACCTATACACATACATAGTACTATATTCTTTACAAGGATTATACTAGACTGTACAGGGAATCATTTGAAGTGGTATTTACAGCCGTGAACATATTTTCAGAAACAAAAGAAAACCGCGGAAGGTGCCGAGAAGATAGGGAAACATGCTTCATAGTTGAACCGAGAGTTACTAGGAAACCAACGTCCCTGCTATAAGGAGATCTTCAAATTTGTGACAGATTTCATAGCATATGGAAATGGGTTTCTGTGCTTGTAATTAGCCAATCGCCTATTACAAGATATCATTACTTATAGTCAACACTAGTATACAGTACACAGCAAATATATGCTGAAGAAACAATGTAACAAACAACTTTGATTAAATACGGAATCCATATTGGGGCATTAACACTGAAAAATGAACAACATAAACGTACGTCGATAGATCACTAGCCTCCATCAGGGGTATCGATAATGGACGTTTTTTCGCCTGCAACGAATGCCTGTTCTCAGGACTCTCTGGTTCCACATTGGTCCATCAGAATCTCCATGATGTCGTTTGCCGTCTTCAAACACCTTTGGCGTCGACTTTATACCCCCTTGTGAAGACATGTCTGATGTACCAACCACTCCTGACTTGGAAGTTTCCCCAGACGATCTAACATTTACCACTATACGGATTTACACAGTGTGGACCCCGAAATTGTCGTTCCATAAACGCAAAAGAAATGTTGAAGTCAGTTCTAAACATGGAGCAAAATTAAGTTAACTATTTGCTCCTCTCTTACGAAACCATACACATAAACTGAATTGATGATCACTGTACACTTAAGAATTCATTTTATGCAAGAAAACAAGACCTTGAAAATATAACTTGATATCAATTGACAAATATCACAACTGGCTGTATAAAAAGGCCGCATCTTTTGAATGCTGTCGGTTCAGTCCCAGTTATAATCATCGCGAGTCTTCGCAAAAGCATAACCTGCCCGATGAGGACTCACCAGTGACCTTGAATATATGAGATATTTCATTGATATATAATTGCGATTCGTTAAGGTATTAATTGTACTTGATACAAGATGAAATAATAGAAGTCAATTCAGGACACATATATAACAAAACAATACAACAGGCGTCAACGTCTCTTGTTACCCATTTTGAAGGGCGACCACCCCGAACACTAGTACTGACACTTCCGCAAAACACAATCAGGGATATAACAAGTTTGTCAGAAAGGATGAGAGTAAGTGAGTTGAGTTTAACGCCGCTTTTAACAGTATTCCAGTTATATTGCGGCGTGTCAGCTTAATGTGGGAGGAAAGCCCGAAGTGATGCAGGTCTCAGACGTTTATCACTTCGGTGAAACCAACGAACACGGGTATGGTGCTGACAAACCTAGAAACATAATTGGGGCGAACCGGGATTCGAAACCTCAATCATAGGTTTCTGGAGTGCCCAAGGGACCCAATCTGCACAGCGAATAGCGGCACTGCAGACGTAAGGTCTAAAACACAACAGTTTACTGTGATACCTGTATCAAACACATCACCATCGAATGACCATTTCCTGTTTGTTTTATTCATCATCAACCTCGGTTGAATACTTTCTTTTGTCCGACAGAGTACATCAGTTTGGGCTGCTGCCGCGCATCAACTGCACTCATGTTTAAAGCAGTGTATAAGCTCAGTGTTGTTTGAGCGTTTGCAACCCTACTGACCATCGTTTGAAGTTACAAATGGGTTCATCATATTCAAAACTTTCGAGCCAAAGGTCTTGAGCACTGAGAATACCCCAACACCTTGCGTTGAATCTGTGCCTTTCGTAAGCAATTGTCGTGCCCTGATTTTACGTGTTTCTCCGGATGTTTTGTTTCTAACTTTTGTCTGAGAGTGTTGGATTGAGGAATATGTTTGCGTACTGGAGACAATGGACTCACAAACCAAAGTCTTTCCAGTATGGGAGCCTCGGCCTTTGTACTGTGGATTCTTGGTTTTACAGCCTCTACCTTCACCAGGCGTTTTTGTCTGACCAAGAAAGTTTGGTGGGTTCTGTTGGGTTGGTGCAGCTTTTAACATTCTCTCCAACAGTTTGGACACATTTAGTTCTGGTTTCTGGTTTACAGCATTAGGCGTGACCACAGACGGTTTGTTTGCAAAACTGTTATCGGAAATTGATTCGGAAGAAACTGGAGTCATTTTCTTGTTCTTAGTAGGGTCATTTCCACTTGTTGTTGATACTCTCTGTTCTTGATCTGAATAGACATTGCCCCTCGTTCTCTTCTCAGGCTGCATAAGCTCATATCGAGGTGTTATTTTTGTGTGTTGAGAATGTGCAGAACCGACAGTGTGTTTCTGGCCCTTCACTGCAGAGGATGGTTCGAAACAAGGGGATCCTGTCTGTGAATGTTTCCCTAGAACCGTAGAATGATCTCTTAATGTCTCTTTCCTGGGAGATTTACATTTTCTTCTGATGCTCTGTCGTTGTAGCTTCTTTGGGGAATATTTATTTACCTGTATTGTGGAAGGACAGGCAGGTTGGTACTCTTTAGTGACAGTTGAAAGTGTCGCATCTACTCTTTTATCTTTTCTAATGATGTTCGTTGGTACAGCATGTCCAGTCACTTTCCCAATATTATCATTTTTGGTCCTGGCTTCAAATTCTGGTGACCGGGGAGAAATACCTAACTGTTGAAGCACATCATGGGTTGTCTGATTTTCATGAAAGTTTTGAAGGTTCATTGGCTTATCTTCAGAAGCTCGTATTGGTTGAGATCTTTGTCCGGATGACACGGCCAAGGCTGTATTTGTAGAAATATTGCTCAGTGACATCTCAGTTATTTTCATATTCAAGTTCATTACTGTACTCGGCACTGTGGCTGAAGAAGATAAGGTTGTTTGACGTCGACAGATGGGAATGTCCTTGGGACTCTTTGTCGGAAGATGCCTTGACAGTTGTCCATGTTGATCATACTTTATTTTCTTTGCATCGGTATGAAACTGTGATTTCTCTCCATCATCACAGGCAGGTCTCTTTCTCGGCATCAAGCGGAATGTAGGTGCACTATGATCATCTAAAGGGCTATATCTGTCTGGATCTTCAGTAGCATGGCTAGGTAGGATAGATACATGCTGTGATTGTTCTCTATCATCTTTTGAAGTTTTAGAATCATTATTGATAACTGTCACACCGGCATTTGGCATCGAGCAGAGAATCGGTTGTATGTCGTTAAGCATTGGTTTCTTTCCCTGCAGGTCTCTAATACATTCCAGGTAGGACCTTCCACAGTGATGGACGTGTATGCTCTCATTAAGCCAAAACACTGACACCAGCTCAAGTTCCTCCTTGGGAAGATTCAGCAAGAACTTTACTATCTCCTGCTTGCCATCACCACTGAACTGTTTCCGAAGCTCCTTGATGATATTGCTTGTTGGCGAACTGACATAGATAGTTTCCCACTTGTAGGCTATCTTGTACACACCACTTGGCCTGCGCGTCGTCCGCACGATGACTGAGTATGGTACATGACCTCTGTGCAACAGCTTACATGGTTTCATCTGGAATAAAAAGCAGTATTTTGGTAACACCTCAATACAAGTCAGTAAGCCAGCCAGTAAAACATTATGAGTGAGTGGGTGAGTTTGGTTCAACACCGCTTTGAACAGTATTCCTGTCTTATCATGGCGTGTCAGTTTGACATGGGAGGAAAGCTCGAAGTGATGCAGGTCTTGGATGTTTACGAATTTGACAATCCTAGGAACATAATCAGGAGAATCTAGATTCAAACCCACGATCATAGTTTTCTGGCACGCTTAAGGAATTTCAGCGCCTTAGGCGACTATGACATAGACAAGAGGCACATTGTTGGTGTTCATGACGAGTTGATTACGAAATGAAATCAATGGTAAATTAACTAATATTGTTCATGAAACATTCCTATTACTTCTTGGGGCACGGGTGGCCCAGTCGTCTAAGGCGCCGCGATCCGCTGTGCAGCAGAGTTGCGTCCCTTGGGCACGCCAGAAACCTATGATTGTGGGTTCGAATCCCGGTTCGCCCCGATTATGTTTCTAGGTTTGTCAGCACCATACCCGTGCTCGTGGGTTTCACCGAAGTGGTAAACGTCTAAGACCTGCATCACCTCGGGCTTTCCTCCTACATTAAGCCGAGACGCCGCGATATAACTGTCGGCGTTAAACCCAACTCACTCACTCAGTCACTCCTATTACTTCGTTACGCCGAAGGCCCGGTTCGATTCCCCATATGGGGCCAATGTGTGAATCCCATTTCCGTTGTTCCCCGTCGTGATATATTGCTGGAATATTGCTAAAAGTGGCGTAAAGCCATACCACTTCATTCATTAAAACTACTTACGGCAATCAAGGGTATCGACATGCGGCCTGTTTTTGGCACCATAGCCTGTTTGTCTTGTTTTCTATTCAATGGCCGCTCTGTCTTCGAAGATCTCTCTGTGTCCATATCTTGTCCTTTATTAATGCACGGTGTCTGGAAGTCCTTTAAACGTTCACACTCTTGTTTGGTATTTGTTTCAGGTTGCGACGTAACGTCATCAGAAGCACTAGCTATCAGCCCCAGTGCTGTCTCAGCAGTTCCCTGTTCGTCCTGGCAATGCAATACCCCATGTGCTGCAGGAGGCGGACAATCATTCCTCTGTGTGTGATCTCTTGGTTTTTCTCGAGGAACAGAGCTGTTTCGAACATGTGCAACAACCTTTGTTCCCTGTTCGTCTTGGCAATGCAATACCCCATGTGCTGCAGGAGGCGGACAGTCATTTCTCTGTGTGTGATCCCTTGGTTTTTCTTGAGGAACAGAGCTGTTTCGAACATGAGCAACAACCTTTGTCTGTTGGATTGAACCGTGCAAACTCGTACGAGATGTCGAGACCTGGCTCGGTTCCGGTTCAACCAGCTCCAGATTAGTCGGCCATGGGTGCTGGACATACACTGGTATGAAGTGTGAGTACAGCTTTATGTTGTGTGAGTTGTAGAGAGGATGCACCTGTGGCTTTCCAGAGTCATTCGTCCCAGGCAACACACCACGGTTATTCATGACTGTGCTGAAATGGAAAGTGTACATAAATGTATTGAGCGAGTGGGTGAGTGAGTCTGCTTTAACGCTGCTTTGAACAATATTTCAGTTATTTCATGGCGTTCCAACGAGTGGTAGTAAAGCCCGAAGTGATGCAGGTCTTAAACGTTTAGTGCAGTCCACGACCACGGGATTCGAACAAACGATCATGAACGATACGCTCCAAAGACCCACTACTCTGCACAGCGCATTGCGGCGCGTTGGAAGACTGGGCCGCCATACAGTTGATACCCCATTACTTCATAACTGTAATAAAGTCACAACCTTGACTTATATTGCTGAAAACAAGACTTGATAAACATTACATATTAACACATAATAAACATTAATAATAATGGGGGCACGGGTGACCCAGTCGTCTTAGTCGCCACAATTCGCTGTGTTGAGTTGCGTCCCTTGGGTATGCCAGAAACCTATGATTTTGGGTTCGAATACCGGTGTGTTCAATTATGTTTCTAGTTTATCTAGCACCAAACCCATTACCGTTTGACAAAAGTGGTAAACGTCTGTGACCAGCAGCACTTCAGCCTTTCCTCCAACATTAAGCTGACACGGCGTGATATGACTGGAATATTGTTCAAAGCGGCGTTAAACCCAACTCACTGTCTCACTTAATAACAATGCTGATCGGAAATGTAGTGTTTACTCCAATTATTAAAGTTTCAACATTCCAAAAGTAAAAAAATCTCTCTAGAATAAAGTGTGCGTGTGAAATAACGTTCAATAACAGTTGACCCTAAAAAGTGTGGGTTTCAGCTGCATGCTAAGAATGCTGGCAGGGGCCGACTGTGTGTTATCAGGGTCACGGTGACATTATACAGCTTGTTTCATAACACTGAATCGCTCAGATGAATCATTCTATGATTACTCCTCCTTACATTATATATCATCCGTTTTAAATCCCTCATTCATAATTGCTGACATTTAGCGCACTATTATACGACATTAATTCGAACTTGTTCAAGCAAGTAGAAAACACACACACACACACACACACACACACACACACACAGACACACACACACACACACACACACACACACACACACACACACACACACGTTAAGGACTGATTGTCGTTATGCAGGGCTGTTCTCGTCAGGATATGGCTGAAATACTGCCGATGTGACGTACTCTTTTAACTCACTCACTCTTCGACCCTTATATCACAGGGTGGCTGTTGTTGACGGCATACCTCTGTTGAGGACTGATTTAATTGTCGTTATGCAGGGCTGCACTACTAAGAATTTATCACAACGGAAGAGAAAGTAGATTTCCCAGAACACTGACGCCTATATGTAGGTCAGGTGCACAGTCTTACAACCTGGTGCAGGAGACGCAGTGTGCAGACATCCTAGATTCCTATTTCAGAACCCAAATACACCCCTCACGTTCCACACAGGTAAGACATGTTTATTCAGTGTTTATGTATAATTGCTCTTATCGTTAAAAGATGGAACTTGTTGTTACCCTGTCTGGCGCTCGGCATTAAGGGGCTAAAACAAGGACTGGTCGGCTCGGAGTAAGTATGCTGTGTCTGAGTGGGGTATTCATGTTAAACTGCGGCATGGTATCTCGGTGAGCTTGCACTATAAATCGGCATCAGTCCGGACCAGTACAACCAGCCACACACACACACACACACACACGCGTGCATGCACGTCGCTATATAAGTGCAATAATCTTGGACGCGACGTTAAACCCACCTCACGTCACTTGTTGGTATCGGCGACAGTGTGAGTGACAGGGGTGGGAGAACGTAGATAGGCACTAAATGGCTCATACAAAATTGCCGAGAATGGTCGGACAATCTATGTGGGCAATGCCGAAAGTGCATCAATCAGAAGAGCACTGAGGAGACATTTCAAAGGAATGGACAAACAACACATTGGAGCATATCTAAGCACCCTACACGAAGAATACAAAGAGGAATTTATAACAGTGTTTTGGCTTGATATTACCATCAAACATGCCTGTAATTGTAGCTACCTTAAGTGTTTTGAAAGAATGGAAGGAAGAAAGCCAATGTACAACATGCAGGGCCATGCCTTCATCGCGCGACCAAAGCGAGTCGGTTCTTGTTCTGAATCTGGCCCAGATGATCACAAAATGGATACTCATGAAATCGAAAAATCGGAGTAAAGGATACTTTGCGAACATTTTGAATTTGAATAGGGCAAATGTATTCTCATTTGCATAAGTTGTGGTTAATTACTGTTTCTTTGTCTCACCTATTATTTTCATATGACTTGGTTGAGCTGAATAAAGATATCGTCAAAAGGAAGATTAACTTCTTTATTTTTGAGGTCATATATTTGACATGGCATCAGAAGGGTTGTCGTCACGTTTACTGACAAGTTTGGTTATTAATATAGCCAGGCAGCCCATGAAAGTGAGTGAGTGAGTGAATTGAGTTTAACGTCGCTTTTAGCAATATCACGGCGATAGACACCAGACATAGGCTCCACACATTGTACCCATGTGGGGAATCGAACAAAGAGCTTCAACGTGATGAGCGAACGACAGACCATTTGTATTGGTTTAAAAGATTTATTTTATATATAATAATAAGTGACCAAAACAATAACCTGTCTCGAACACATACACTTACGAAATGTGTTATATTGTGTAACATTGGTGATTTCGTCATGGCAGTCATATTGTGTGATTCATTATGCGTGCTGTCGTCCATTAGTTTGTCCGGACCTGGCATGATTGGGAACGGGGCGGTCGGGTAGCCTAGTGGTTAAAGCGTTCGCTCGTCACGCCGAAGACCCGGGTTCGATTCCCGACATGAGTACAATGTGTGAAGCCCATTTCAGGTGTCCCCCGCCGTGATATTGCTGGAATATTGCTAAAAGCGGCGTAAAGCCATACTCACTCACTCACTCATTCATGATTGGGAACAGGCCACAGGCCGTTATCGCCATAATATTGCTGACTGGTTGAAACAGCATTTTACTCGGTTACATTTCTAAATGACAATATTGTTTAAGGTAAATTTAAGTATTAATGTTATTTGTTGTATAAAGCTGCATTCAGCCCAGCTATAGTCCAGCTACATGATGGCGGCTTTTTTAAAACTTTTTTTTTTTCTGTACGACTTCGAGTCGTGATGTCTAACAAACAGCAAAACCTATTGTATTTGGTCACGTTTCAGACATGGCAACGTTCACGGACATCAACCGAGACAAGCACGGAGTTGTTCGGGGTAAGTGTCGAGACTGCCCCGAGGACTGTCCTCAGTATTCCCAGCCTGTCCTCAGACACAACTGTACATATTGCGGGTGTCCGGCGGCTCATCATGAGAGGGTGGAACCTCGACCTGAACTCATCATCAAGATAGAACCAGGGGAGGAGGGGGCAGGATCTTCGGGGCGGAGTGATGACCGACCACCACGCGGTCCGTCGAGAAGAGCCCAGCCAAGTACCTCCAGGCGAAATGAGTCGCCTACTGGCTCACGAAATCACCAGGGTACATCACGTACAGTAATCCAGGTATCATTTCAACCCGTTAACTTAGAAAGTTTTAGAAGTTAGTTTGTCATTCGTGAGGTTTCATTTGAATGTAACCTTTTCTGTATGGTTTATATTCTGTAAGCATCAGTAATGGATGGAGAACATGATAACTATCTTAGCTGCGACCGAGGCTTTGAACATAAGCACGTGCATACGTAGGTTATTTGTTGTTACACCACAAACCTATGGAATGGGGGATGAAATTGACTTGATTGAACAGGTTTCTATCAGCTGCACTTTTAAAATTTAACTTTAATGTTTCAGAAACGTTGTAAGACGTTATTTGTGGATGCTGGCGTCACATATTATCATCTTCAAGAGAAACTTACAAAAACTCAACGCGGCGTGTTTACAATCTTATGGAAGGGAAAAATAATTTATGTTGGGGAGCCAAAGAAGACGCCCCTATTAACTAACCTTCGTGGTATCTTTACTGGTGGAAGCCAACAAGACATCAGCAAGTATTTGAAAAGTTTACCCAACAATTTGAAAGAGAAGCATGTCCGAATCGCTTGGCTGACACACATGGATGACGACCCACACTGCCAAACGTGCAGAGAAGGCAGGAAAAAGCTTTCGTATCGACATTGTGTTTCAAATCTGCAAAGCAAGGATCCAAGGAAGGTCCTCTTGGATCTCAAGACAAAATTTTCACTCCATTAGAATCAAAATGTTTCTCGTGTTTCAACTGACCACTAATTGTAGTGTTTAGTTTGAAACCTTTCTACTCCTGGCATCGTCTTTGTAGCTGTATGTCTCTTTATCTCAACAGTCTGTAGCATAATTGTGGTTTTAAGGATTTTCTGGGAAAATATATTTTTAGGTAAAATCCCAACTCCCCAGTATGCAACAAACCACTCAGGGTATAACAGAAGATTATGATGTTTGAACATGTATTTGGGTGAAGGAAAATGTCACATCTCAAAGTTCCTTTACCTTTCAAAGCTCTATTTACAAGACATTTCTACATATCTTGTGATAAGAACATTATAATGCTGGGCAGAATGTGAATTAGAATCACCTCATCATATTTTGTGTGATCCCCAGTAAGGTGCTCTAGCTTTGGTTGCCAGTGGCATACTGTTTTACTGTCCTTTGTCGATAGGTATTATCAAATAATTAACTTGTTTTCATCGCAATATTGCCGATGCGATGTAAAATGTTAAGTCGCTCACTCATCATATTTAGATATGATACAACCTGAGGCAAAGGAAATACGAGAGTATCCAGTAATTTAATATGTACTGTTTCCCTACTTTTGAACTACAGTAAACTACGGTTATAACGAACTCAAAGGGACTACCAATTTTAGTTCGTTATAACCGTAATTCGTTATCAGCATATATACAGCATAACTATAGCATATAGTCGGGACTAAAAAGTTAGTTCGTTATATCCGTTAGTTCGTTATAAGCGTGTTCGTTATAACCGTAGTTTACTGTATGCCTG